TGTCTCCCTCCCCTCCCGCCAAGCCCTTGGGTTCACATTACCCAAGCCATCTCGAGAAATGGCTCTGCTTGTTATGTATTACAATTCTATTCAGATTTTAGGAAGGATTGATGGAGCTTTTGAACCATTTCTTGTTTTTCCCAGTTTTTCATACAAAGTCCATTTTCCTGGTTCAGAAATAAGGTCTTTTTGCAAACAAGCTATAAATGTGTCAGGGGTTGGAACAGTTCTGCAATGAAGACATTTTCAAGTGGTGGATTTTTTTTTTTTTCCCTCCTTACTTTGTCTCCTCATTTGGGTGACATAACCTCTAGATAATTACCACCCTCTCACATTACAGCAAATACAAGAATAAATTTCCTACCAAGCAGTTTGTTGTCTGGAAAGCTGGAGACCACCTTCATTTTTAGCTGTGCATATGGATGATTATTTGAGAAATCATTTCCTGGATGAGGCTAGAACATAGGAGATTTTAGAAGCCCTTTGTAAAGCATTCCTTCAAAGCCTTAACCTTCATTAATTTGCTGCAATGTTAGTGAATGCTTGTTGCTTCCCCCATTTTTCAGCAGTGTTACAAAAACCGCTGAGATTCAGGGTCTTAGAAGAGATACAAGTTTTTTCATAAAGAAAATAAGTCCTTTATTATTTGGAATATTTAAACTTTGATAGGGAACTGGATAAAACTAGCATTGCTTAAATGCTCTGCACTTGCAAAGGGCCATTTGGAGTTTAGACACTGATGAAGAAAAGAATTCTTTTTTCACCTCCTTAACTTTGACCTGTGTTATAATGTAAGGTTTTTCCTTTGAGTGTTCCTGGAATGCACTTGGCAAAGAAATTAAAATATGTAAAGGTCCCTCTTTAAGGAAACTACCCTTTGTACCTCAGCTGCACAAATTTCTAAATTCTAATCCTTCTCCTGAGCATCTTTTATGGGCTAGTACTTTCATATATATTATTTCATGTAATCCTCACAGCAGCAAGAGTATCGGTGGACAGAGAAGTGAAGTGATTTGTTTGTGGTCATTTAGCAAATGATGCTGCTGTCATTCAAATTCAGATCTTACTTCCAAATTGAGAATCCAGGTAACTGCAGGTGTCTTGCCAAGTGAGTCGTTGGCAGAAAACAGTAGTGGCTGACTCCTAAGTGCCAGCCCCCACCGTCTCGACCTTCCTCATCTCTCTGTGTGCTACTGATTTTGAGAAGCCTCGAGTCCCAGGTGCATTCACTTGCACACTCACACAGGCCTTGAGCTGACACAGTATGGACTCACCTGTCATGGCAGAGGGCAGGACAACAGACTCTTCTTGATCCTGACCCTCACTGAAGTGAAAGAACCCATCTCCTGGCCATGGTTAAATGTACCTTGAAAAATTATTAGTAAACATGATAGATGCCAGAGCAGGTAGAGTCTTGACTTCCCCAAATACTTCACTAGTGAGTGAGTGAAATAGTACCACAAAGGCCGAAGCGTGTCTCCTCTCGAATACGTGCTGCTGTCCCAGATGTCAGCACTTGGCCCTGGCTGTGTTTCTGAGCATTGACTTATGCATTCCCCAGACCCTCAGGCAAGATTGGGATAGGACATCGGGGGGCCTTCAAGGGATGGTCCCCAGCAGCCAACTGACGATTATTATATTTCAAATTAAATAGAGAGATAAAAATGAGACTTACAAGCTATCTGATTTCATCTTGCATTTGATGTGTTTTGTAGTGGTGAGTGCATTTAATTAATGGAGCTTAAGCTTTCTTCATTCTGTTGACTTTATTTAGCCTACGTGTGTTTAATGAGATTACTTTTCTCTTGTGCTCATAAATATTTAAAACCAGGAACTTTCCTGAAATCAAATTGCACAGGCTTGTTTTCCTTCACCTAGCTTTTCTTAACTCTGATACATCTATTAGTGATTGAGAAATGGTTGTTATAAAAGTCTGATTACTTTTCCTCATTCAGGTTTGTACACATACACCTTGTCAATGAAGTTTCAGACTACCTAAAAGTAAAGGCGTTGAGCCCAAAAGAGCAGTCAAGGATGATAATGACACTGACTGTATCTAAAACTGTGCTGCCAACTCACTCACCAGTTCATGCCATCTTAAATGGAAATGCCTAATGTAGGATATTATCGTGTGTCTACACTTTTTCAAAGCAGCTGAGAAATACACTGTTATCATTCCTCAATTATTCAGTGCCTTCTTATCATCTATGTTGAATATTAGAAATTTTACTTTCTATGACTTTGTGTAGAGTGCTGACCTTATTAGTGGGTGTATGCCACTCGCTGGTAGTATGATTTGGAGGCCGATCGTGTGATTATCAAGATGACCCATAAGATGCCTGATTTACTCTTTAACTTTTACCCCCTCGACAAGTATGAGGGAGCGTTATCTTCCTTTCACCCCTCTTCTCAAAGCATAGTTCCCTTTAGAAATGTTTTAATATATATTCTCTTTAGCCAGAGGAAAAAAAAGGATTTTTGTCATTTTCATTTTCATGATTGTCATGCTATTAGATTTTTCATGGTTTCAGGGGCACTGAAAATATCATAATAGCAATATTGGATGCTTTATTTTTAAGAAAATATAACAAACATTCATTTTCCATTCTCTCTGATAAAGTTTAACAATTCTGTTATGTACATAGTATTTTCAGGATTTTGGAATTTCTTTCTTCTCAGAAAGGAAGATGTCATTATTTTGGCCCTCGTTTCATCTCTGAAACTTTTGAAACTATTTAAACTGTTTAAAATTATCAGCAAAACTTGGGGGTTTCCAAAAGTCCCCAGAAAAAGGCTGGTCAGGCAGCATACGTGACATAAATGAGGTGTGCAGAAAAGAAAGCGAGAATGGGTCAGAAGTAGAAAAGCAGATGACCTTCCGCATTGTCTTCCACATCAGCTTTCCTGTCTGGCAGTAATCCTTTTAGAATTAGACAGACGTAGAAAGCGGAATGTAATTCATGAATACTAGATGACAATCTCTTTTCTAGTTCATTAATTTTGTTCAAAATTGACTTGAAACACATGTAAGTACATGGCAAAGCTGACACATTCACTTTAAGGTTTTAAAATGTACTAATCAGTTCAAAAGTTCTTTATAGCAAGAATCCTTAACAGTAGATATGTTCTTCATACTCAGGAGCTGTCTTAGTTCAGTTATTTATTGCAGTAATTTGTAGTTTTTTTTGTTGGTGGTCATTAGCATCTAGAGGATATTTTTTTCTTGGAAAGTTATATGTTGGTACATATTTTTGGAATTTTTGAAGAGTAGTCTGCTTTATTTCACTTTAGCTTGTTTCTAATCCTTTGCATTTAATGTCAGCTTCAAAAATTAAGGTACTCCAAGAAGCTTGAGGTTGAGACTCTGGGCTCTGGAACATTTTTACAAGTCTGTCTGCAAGCCACTGTTGCGGTTTATTCTTGGAGCAGTGCCTAAGGGCAGTGGAGCTCCTGAATTACAGTCACCCTGCAGGTGTTTATTTTTAGATTCCTCTGCCCAGCCCCATACCCACTGAGCAGTATTTCTGGGGGTGGTGCATGGATGGGAATCTGCCTTTTTTAACTAGCTCCCCAGATGCCACTATACATGCTAAATTTGAGAACTACTGCCTCTCAGTATATGCTAGGGGCTTTGTCTTGGGCTTCTCTAAAATGGAGTAAAGCATTCTGGTCCTCAACAGTATGGTTGACGGAGGCTTGAGTTTACCCAGAATGAACACACTTATGTCATTTTGCAGCCAGTAAGTCCAGGGCCTTTAAGACGAAAGATACTCCCTTTTGATTGGACCATTAATAATTCTCTTCTCTGGTTTCCAGTTATTTGTGGGCAATTGATTTGTTAATGATTAAGTGGTTAGAGGTTGTTGTTGACTTTAAGGAAGGTGAGAGCAGAATAGTCTTAAAACATTGTTGGACAGGGCGCCTGGGTGGCTCAGATGGTTGAGCGTCTGCCTTCGGCTCAGGTCATTATCCCAGGGTCCTGGGATCGAGTCCCGCATCGGGCTCCCTGCTTAGCGGGGAGCCTGCTTCTCCCTCTGCTTCTCTCTCTCTCTCTCTGTCTCTCATGAATAAATAGATAAAATCTTTAAAAAAAAAAAACATTGTTGGACATTGCTAGAATACCTGTGTTACTCAGTGTTACAGTCTTGTTAAATTTCTATCTATTTCTTAAGAACAAAACATTTCTCTTAAATCAGAAGTTTTGGAAAAGATGTTCTTCATCTGATGTCTGGATAGAATTCAGGGGTGTGTAAACTTGGATGGGAAATAATTTTACCTTTATTTTCACTGACCCCCTAACTAAAATTTAGCACTTCCTTCAATTATGAATATAGGCAACAAACAACAGTTAAGTTCTGCCTATGATTTTATTGCAGGTTAGAAAGCATAGATATTTTCATATTGTATTTTTTTTGAGATCCTTCAAAATACTGCTTATGTACATCACGACTTCAAAATCATAGTAGTTACTAGATCAGTTGCTAAGACTTGTTAGAGAAATCTAATTATCATTTTAAAATTATTTTTGATAACTATTTTGTAGTACAATTGATTTCTGTTGAAATCATATATATTTTATACATTTAAAAATATTATTCTGACAAGGGATCCATAGGCTTCACTAGACTACCAAAGAGAATCAGATACAAAAAAATGGGTAAGAACACCAATGCTCGGGGCAGTTGGGTGGCTTAGTTGGTTAAGTGGCTGCCTTCGGCTCAGGTCATGATCCCAGGGTTCTGGGATCGAGTTCCTCATTGGGCTCCCTGCTCAGCGGAGAGCCTGCTTCTCCCTCTGCCTGCCACTCCCCCTACTTGTGCTCGCTCTCTCTGACAAATAAATAAAATCTTAGAAAAAAAAAAAAAACACCGATGCTAGATCTTATACTAACATCTTTTCATTCTAAATCATTTCCTTTTTTTTTCCGAGATATTTTCCTTAAGTGAACTATTTTTCCTATTCTTATAGTCATCTCATCATTATATATTTTTTTACTGTAGCTGACTCCACTGGAACCCATTCTCTGTACACAACATACAAAGACTATGAAATTATGTTCCATGTTTCCACCATGCTGCCATACACGCCTAACAACAAGCAACAGGTAAGAGATCCTGGTGTTGTCTGTGTTTCTTCGCCCTTGTTCATTTCCCCCAGAAACCTAAGTGGCAAGTTTGTAAAATCTTAAACCAGAATTTAATGTTGCACCTGTCACCGCAGCAGGAAGCTTTGTACTTTGCGGAAATAACGAATAGCAAATGAGCTGAAAACAAATGAAGAGACACAAATTCTAGGTTAACAGCCAGCTGGATGGCTTTGTGAATTAATCATTTGATTTTCACCCACGGAGATTGAGGTTTTCATGGAATCTGAAGAGAACAAGTTGAAATCATGGTGATTAGGTGACCCTGCAGGGTTGCAGAGAACATGGATGAGTGGGTGAGATTCCATCTCAAGAGGCCAGGGTGCAAAGCAGGAAAGTACTGATGTGTCATTTCAGATTTCAGAGGAGGTTTGGTATACTAACTGGGAGAAAAACCAAAATAAATGTCAATGGGATCTCAGAAAAAGGTTTTTTCTTAACATTTATCAGGAGACAGCAAAGAACATTAAAAAACGATTGGCCTTCATGTACATCATACGCAGTTTCTTTTAAAAAAGATCTAAAAGCACAATGCCTGTTACTAAAATGTGGTCATTGACATAGTAAATGAAGAAACCTAGAAGTGGCAGATTGTTACAGAGCAAAATGGAAACTGGCAGTATTATTTTAGAAAGTATGTGGTCATTGCTGTTTTTAAAAAATATGTCAAAATAAATGATACCAAACTGACATTTAAAAGAGCCAGAGAGCAAACAGCTTTTCCTTTCAATAGCAATTATAAACACAAGCAGTCCAGTATTACTTCTGACCTTAAAATGGATCTAGATTTTGTTATTGTCAACTGTTGTGCTAACAGAACACGGCCAGCTGCAGAATGAATCACATCCTCTTTCCCAGAACTTAACCAAACACGGATTGAATCGAACACTTCGTCACTGCAGGTTTGATTAAATCACAAATAGAGGTAACGAAATTTTGCCTCTTATAATTACCAAAGGAATCAAAAATAGGGAGCAGAGCAGTGAATCAGCTACAAATCTGAAATAAATCTATTTAGGATAAAGTCTATTATCTGGACTTTGTTGACAGTTTTTTTGTGCAAATTCCAAGTTCTAGATTACCCAGAGAGGAAAACATCATGATAAGGAAAATATGTTTTTCTTATTCTGACCAGTAAGTAGACCAAAAAATTTCAGGATGTTCACAGGTGATTTTTAAAGGATTATTCTTTCTGCCTGATTGCTCAGCAGAGAAAGTAAGATGTATGGAAGGATAAAAAATTTAGTTAACAAAATTCAGTTAATTGTTTATTTCTCCTAAATGAGTTGAAGTGTGTTGAGCAGCATGAGTTGGACATGAGTTGGACAGCTATCTAAATTATTTAATTTGGAGGTCTGATCAAGGCAAATGTGTTATTATGGTCCTAAATCAGAATGAAAGAGTAATTGGTACCGCTGCATCTTAAAAAATCTTAATTCTCGGGGCACCGAGGTGGTTCAGTTGCTTAAGCGTCTGCCTTCGGCTCAGGTCGTGGTCCCGGGGTCCTGGGATCGAGCCCCACATCAGGGCTCCCTACTCGGTGGGGAGTCTGCTTCTCCCTCTCCCTCTGCCTGCCGCTCTCCCTGCTTGTGTTTTCTCTCCGTGTGTCATATAAATAAATAAAATCTTTTAAAAAAAACTTAATTCTCTATCTAGAGAATTTATTTCTTCTATGTAGATCACTTTCTGCTTGGGAAAAAAAAAAACAACATAGCTTATAAAATCTTGTGGCAGGAATTTGTTTATAAATACTGTCTTTCATTATATATAATATGAGGTGGATAGATGGACTTATTTCTAATTGGGTCCTTTACTAAGACATTAGTGTTACATATCAAACAAGGAGAAAGACTGACATTGCATCAAAAAGACAATGACATCATCTGTGCAGGAATGACATAATACATAGACAAATTGTATTTTTTTCGGTGTGTCCAAGATCCTGAGTTGATTAATAATGTTTAATAATGGGTATATTCTGTATAGCAGTCAGTACAGACCAGCCTTTATTTCTTTAACATCCAATAATATATCATGTTTAGAAATGAGAATAAGTGGCCTCATTAGAAGATAATTTGGGATGCTTTGAAATTCCTAAGGTTAAAAGTACATTTCTGGAACATTCTAACTCCCAATTCTCAACCCTAATCTAAAAGGCTATTGTTTCTCCCAGCTGAATACTAGATCACTGATTTTACTGGTATGTAATTTGTGTAAGTTAAAGTCACTGGAGAATTAAAAAAAAAAAAAAGTTTTATAAATGCAAGTTTATGCCTAACAGTTGATATAAATGGTGTATTTCGTTATTTTTCTCCTTGTGAGAGCCTCTATATAATAAATATGAGATATGCAAATTTCGTTCAGCTTTTTTTCCACACTACTGAATTAAACTGTCTAATAAACCCCTCTTAGAGAGCCACTGGCCTAGCCTGACTTGGGGTGCCTGAATTTGAAAGCCACCTTTCCAAATCACCATTTAATGTGAAACAGAAGGTGGTCTTAAGCAACTTTCACTGTAATTAAGAAAGGCTGTTTAAACTTGAAATTTAACCTGCTTTAGAAATATTAGTAATTTCTGCATTCCCAGCTGGTGACACAAAAAGCATCTCCAAAAACACCTTAGCCACATTTCTTTAAATGAAGTGAATTAAACCAGAACATAAATTGCATTGTAATTACTTCCGCCATTCTCTTCTCTAAAACATCTTCCCTATGGCAAGTTTCTTTCTTATGTGAAAATGGAACAAAACTGTTGTTATGGAAACAGAATTTGGAGAGTCTGGAACTTGGCGTAATCTGCCAGATATTGGTTTGCTCCTGAATGGGCTCTATATTTTATGCAAATTTCAGAATATTCATTTCTGTATTCTTCCTGGGAGGGAATAAGACAGGCTAAAATATTGACAGCACCTGTCTCAATTACCTACCTTAATATGTCCTGAATAATAATGAATGTTTACATAAGGGAATTGGGGAGGAAAACGCGGAATGTTGTCATTTATATTGTTTGCTTATTTTTTCTTTTAGCTCCTACGGAAGCGGCATATTGGAAATGATATCGTAACAATTGTTTTCCAAGAGCCGGGAGCACAGCCGTTCAGCCCAAAAAACATCCGATCCCACTTCCAGCACGTTTTTGTCATCGTGAGGGTCCACAACCCCTGCACTGACGGGGTCTGTTACAGGTACTGGCCCTACAGCTGTGGCTCCATGGGTGTTGGCTGGTGATCACACAGAGGGCCCCCTCCAGCTCCGCTTCCTGAAGTGGCAGTGGGAAGTCCATTACTATTTATTTTTGTCTTTAAACTGTGTGTGTAGATCACCGAATTCACACAATGACGTCACCCGACGGCATTGACATTGCCCAGACGCGTTGGTTAGACACCTGCTGTTTCCATTTGCACCTCCTCCTTAGGTGGTGTCCTTCATCCATACCATCTGGTCACCAACTAATTACTCATACTGCTAATTATACTTTGCTTTTGGTGTGGCAAGAGCAGAGAAGAATGATCATAATAAGTAGAAGAGTTTTGTTTTAATTGTTACTGTTTCAAAAGCTCAAACCCTTGCTTAGGACCGATTTGATTCACTCTAACATTTCTGACTGCCATCTTTGAGGCATTTCTATGCTTTAGTACGCCGGTGGTGGAATTGTTTCCGTGCCCCTTGTTGACCTGGTCTTATGAGTATCGGAATTCAGGCATCTGTCTGCAAGAGGCCTTTGGGTGTTGACAAGGATAAGAACCTGAATTGCTGGGTTGACATGGGCATAGTACCAAGAAGACGTGTAAGGCTATTCTAGCCTTACGATGTTTCTAATATGAATCTGTCCTTTTAAAACACGGAATTTTATCCTGTGTTCCCATCCCTAAAATTTGGAAGATTAGGCTTTGTTAGTTTTCGATATTTGTTTTTGAATTAATACAGCCACCTACCCAGAAACTGGCCAACACAGACTGATAATTGGTTTGTTGTGAGCTCCACAACTGTCTAATTCTAGGTGTCAGTGTGGGTTAATTACAGGAGTCGAGCGAGCAAACTCAGGAAACAAGACAAATAAAGGTTACTGTGGACTCCTGCAAGCCGCCACCGTCCCTGCACACATCCCACAATAACGATGTATGTTGGCCTCTGGTGTTAAGCCAAGCACTATTCTAGGCACTTTACGTGGGTTACCTCATTTAATTTTGAAAACCCATGCATTAGGTACTGTTTTTAAAAATCCCCATTTTCAGATGAGGAAGTTTGAGCAATGCGAATAGGTGACTTGCCTGCAGTCAGCTGGTACCAGGTAGTCTTGATTGTAATGGCACGAGGTCTGATTCTAGAGCCGGGCCCTTCACTGCCCTGCTGTGCTGCCTCACTACCATGCCCTGTGAAGCAGGGGTCTTTGCTGCTCTTGCTGCCGACACACAAGCTCTTCCAGAACTCCAGGTTAATGCGTGGAAACTCCAACATAAGAGACTTAGATCTGCAGCCTCTTACCAGGAATGTGGTCTCTGAAAGCTGCTTGATTTAGGTGTGGGATGACAGACTGAGAACATTTGTCTGTAACTGGGAGGGATAGCTCTTAGCATTTAGAAAATACCCCCAAGCAATTGAAACACGCTCTGTACTGGATTCATGCAAGGGATTTCATACAACTTTGATAGGAAGCTAATCCCTTTTTGATTGGTCACTACGAAGTTTGGGAGTGGAAAGCTATGCAGTTTGTTTTAGGGAGAGATTCTTGTTTAAAAGCCATTGCCTAAATAAAGTGCTGTTCGATAGAAATATAATGCAAGCCATATGTTAATTTTATATATATATATATATATTTTAAAGATTTTATTTATTTATTTGACACAGAGAGACACAGCGAGAGAGGGAACACAAGCAGGGGGAGAAGGAGAGGGAGAAGCAGGCCTCCCGCAGAGCAGGGAGCCCGATGTGGGGCTCGATCCCAGGACCCTGGGATCATGACCTGAGCCAAAGGCAGACGCTTAACGACTGAGCCACCCAGGCGCCCCTTAATTTTATATTTTTTAATGGCCATATTTTTAAAGTAACAAGAAACGGGTAAAATTAATTTTAGCAATATGTTTTTGACCCAAGAATATATTTTATTTACCTGCTATATCCAAATATTATTATTTCAACAGGTGATTTTTAAGTTTTAAAAATTATTGGCCTATTTTACTTATTTTTGGAGCAAGACTGAAATCTGGAGTCTGTTTTAGACTTATAGTTCATGTCAATAAGGATGCTTGATTTTCACTGGAAGTAATCTGTGTTTAGATTTCATAAAATTTGTAACTGGAAAAGTAGATTCATATACTCAGATTTTCCAAACCTGCTTTTTCAGAGCTTTCGAATAACAGTTGAGTGTCACTTTTAAAAATATGTTGCAGGGGTGGGGGGATGGGTTAGCCCGGGGATGGGTATTAAGGAGGGCATGTGTTGCATGGAGCACTGGGTGTTATAAGCAAACAGTGAATCATGGAACACTACATCAAAAACTAATGATGTAATGTATGGTGACTAACATAACATAATAAAATTAATAAAAGAAAATACAATGTAATTTAATACCCCTTGGTCACAGTAGCCACATTTCGAGTGCTCAGTAGCCTACATGTGGCCAGTGCAGGTCTAAATAGACTGATCTGGAGGAAGTGTCTCCTAGCCTTCTTCAACAGTTTGCTGGATGAGGAAGTGATATCTGTCTTATTCTTTTAAACCCCACCCCCACCCTAGTCTTGAAAATCATGCTTTTTTGCTGTCTCTTATTTTTAATCTGTTGCCTGGAGAGCCCATCTTCTTAACCCCACCGTGTGATGTGCTGGTTTGTGGGAGGACACTGACCACCCCAGCTCATGCCTCATGAACTAGCCAGGGATTTCCTAGTTGCCACGCTTGTTTGAAGACCCAGCACACTGCTTTATAAACTGTGAACGTGGGCCTTTTGTAAATCCAAGGGAACATACCAAATTGGAACATTACTAAGAGAAATTACGAGAAACTAAAGTAGTGATCTTTTCCTATTGTAAACTTTAGGTGTATTAATTGTTCTCAGTACATCTCAAACCCAGGTAAGCATGTTTCCTGGGGTGTGTGGTGATGTCAGGAGATGTTTAAAGTCCCAGAACAAATAGGGCAACTTTCTTGTAGTTTATGTTTGGGTGAAAATGTGTAAAGGTGTTCATGTTCTCATGAAAATAAATGTATTATGGGGCGCTTGGGTGACTCAGTCGATTAAGCAGCTGACTCTTGATTTCAGCTCAGGTCATGATCTCAGGGTCCTGGGATCAAGCCCTGTGTTGGGCTCTGTCCTCAATAGGGAGCCTGCTTGAGGATTCCCTCTCTCCCTCTCCCTCTGCCCCTCCCCTGATGCAAATGCACACACACACTCTCTCTCTCTAAAATAAATAACCTTTAGGGTAAAAAAAAAGAAATGTATTATGAAGCTGCATAGAAAATTTGTATCAATTTTAAGATAAAACGTGGGTCTTCCAAAGAATTTCTGTACATGTGAGTTTTTCTCATACCCCAGTCACTCCCCAACCTACTAGGTATATGAATTTATGGGCCTCTTTTATTAAAGGTATTTTGGTAGAAAAGTTTAGAGCTGCATTGATTTATACTAAATTAGATTTAAATCTAATTTAACTCTATCCCTGAGTGATATAGAGTGATTCAGATGCTTTTTATCATTGAAAATCTCTTGTTCCGAACTTTCTGCCCTATGAACATTCACATTTATTTATTGACATCTACTTGGTGCCTGTAATGAGGAAAGTGCAGAAGTTGTTTTCTCAAAGGAGCTTCTTGCTGTAATGGGATAGGAAAGTGTGGGGTCTGTACAGGCTGAAGTTATAAGGAACATTGAACTGAGAAAATGGGGTTTGGCATGTGTTTTAAAGCATAGATGGATGAAATTCAGTAGGGGAAAAAGAATTCTAAGAGTGGCCAGCATTATATACAGAAGCATAGACACAGGAAGGTAGTTAAAGTAAGAAGGCTGCTATTGTAATTGGGATTACTGGGCAGTGGAGGCCCTTGGAATGCCAGGCTGTCTAGTAGCACAGTATAAATAGAGTTTTAGAGAAATTCACCCAGTGTCACCATGCAAGATAATTTGTATACAAAAAGGCAAATTTGGAGCTTATTGCTGTTGTTCATTGATTTTTTTGTGTGTGTGTGCCAGTTCTTTACAGCCCTTATCATATATGTACTAGGCACTATTCTAGGCCTTGGGATGCAATAGGTAAACAAAGAGAGAAAAATCCCTATGGTGGATATGGAGAAGAGGTCCTGAAACAATGGGTGTTATCTCCTTGGGGACTGTAAATTAGTTTATAAGAGGAAAAACTGACTATTTCAGACTAATTCCAGAGGCCAATTAACTTTGAACAGTGGACATAGCCAGGAACTCAGAAATGAATCACTAAGTCTGTACTATGCCCACACCTGTTAAGAGAGCCCTCTGGTCTCTTTATTTTGTTTGGTATTATTACACTGAGCTTAATTGTCTGGTTCTGGTTGATAGAGCAGATTAGAAGCAATAAATCAGAAAGATGAACTGTTCAGTGGCAGGGATGTGCTGAAAACATCAATAAGTGATTATTAATAAGAGATGCAGAAAAACTATTCACATAAGTGATACAAAGCCAATAAGCATAGCAGTCTGGATCATTTGGTTTGGGAGCAAAGGACCAAGTATACTTCACTCACCCCTTGGGGCCTTTGTAAAAACTCAGTGTAAAATTTTTTCAACATTTTTTTTAGCAACCAATGAATTAGGAGATCTAGGCATTGATCTTCAGAGGTTGCAGATACCACAAAAAGAGACAAACACGTGTCTCATAATGGAAGGACACAACCCCACTTATGAATTAGTCTTGTTCCCTACCCCCTTCCCCCCACTGAACCTGAATCTGATCAAACTTCTGGAAAAGCCAATGTATAGGGAATAGAAAAGACAGAAGAACATGCCCGTATTCGGCAAAATTCAGATACCGTGCAACTCTGTGTGACAAGCAGCCCAATTTCCTCAACACATAAATGTAAGAAATAAAAGAGAGAAGTGGAGAGGAATGAACAGAACAAAAAAAAATTTAGGATAAGATTAATTAAAATGTGTGGGTCTTATTTGGATCCATTTTAGATAAAAAGATTTTTAAAATTTTAGGACATCTTCAGCAACTGAAAATTGGAACATTGACTATTTGATGAAATTAAAGAATTATTAATTTTAAACCTAGTATAGTAATAAGTGGTTATAATAATGACCTGAGTCTTCAAAACAAGTGTTAAATTGTGGTCAGTAATTACGTTTAGAAAGGTAGAAATGTATGTTTCTTCTCTCAGAAAGATTTCCATATTCAGAGGTTAAAATATAATGTTGAAAGGAGGTAGTATGATATAGGGCAAAAAGCACTTGGAATCATACCGGATTGTTAAACCTCTCAGATCTTAAATTTCCCTTTCTATGCAGTGGAAGGTTGCTTGATATCTACTTAAAATCCCATAAGTAAAGTATCTAGTGTAGGCAGGGAGTGTGGTATATGCATATTAAATGTGCACACCCTTCTTTTCTTGAATAAAAATAAATAAATATGCAAGCTTCAGCTAGGAAGAAAGAATCAAAGTGGGTCAAGTGGTAGACATCTCTTTCAGAAAGTCTATTCCAAGCCTAATCAGCATTCCTGTTGTCCAATATAGCTGACCTTTTTAAGATAAAAATCTGAATATGTCACTCTTGGAGCTTCATACCGTTTGAGAGAAGTTCAGACTCCCTAATGTACAGCCTCCTGCATGAGGTCCTTCAGGCCTGGCCTTTCCACTGTCAGCCTCCATTGGGGCCTCTGCCGATTCCCCTCCGTACCCCTACCCCTGGAGCCATGTGGAGCTACTCACAGCTCCCAGAACGTACTGTGTTCTGCACCTCTGCTCTGCACGTTCTACTCTCCAGGCAGGAAGGCCTCTTCTTACACACCCCTCCTTCAGCTGATGAATTCCTGCTTTGCTTTTCTCTGGGAGGGCTCCCCGACCTCCCAGGACTAGGTAAATTGCCTTTCCTAAGTTTTTCCAGGAGTACCCCGCACTTCCCACAAGAGCACTCAAACCTCTGGATGTAGCCCTGAGAGACTTGGAGCTTCTGGAGGGCTGAGCCTGGGACAGCTCATCCTTGATCCTCAGCATGAGACACATAGTAGGTGCTCAGTGAGCGTCGGTGAATGAGTACTAGTAGGAGTCGAGAGTCCCCCAGGGAGAGAGTGATGGACATACATTTGTTCTGTTGCGGATCTTTCTTGTCCTTTGACCAGGTCTGTTTTCTCAGAAAGCTCCCCAAGCTGGCAGTCTGATCCAGCCCCCAAGAAGGGGAAGCCTCCCTCTACCGTTCTGATGCCGAGTCCCCTTCCTTCTAAATTTGGGGTTGGAATTGTTTATTGCCATGTCCATCGTACTTCAGAAATTCAAGCATCGTTGTCTTCTTACTTTTTTCTGTTGAGACTTCTGTTCGGATGTCTCTGGAACATTCCCATGTACCAACTTGAAATTGGCTTTGGGTGTCAAGATCTGCTACTTTATCCAAGGTCACTGATGCCAGCAAATGCTACAAAGCTCAGCTGAATGATGGTCTCTTCAGCTGTGTGACACTTGTGGATGATGCCTTGTGCAAGCACCTCAAGAGTGGGAGGTTCAAAAATGTTCCTTCAAAAGAATAGTGTGGTCTTCATAGAGCATGCTGCTGGCTATCTAGAAGCTCAAGTTCCAGGCCTGGCTCTCTCTAACAGGCTCTGGGCAGATCATTTCTCAGAGTCTGTTTCCTGGAGAAGTGAAGAATTCGTACCAGCTGTTCAAATGGAGGTTCAGGGCTATGCCAAACGTCAGTAAAACAGGACACTTTCCTAGTCTGTAAATCGTACTCCCATGATTTGGGGGACAGAACATGTTTTTGTGTTAAAATGAAAACAGATACTCCTCAGTAGAATGCAAAATCAAGATGACTTTTAAAATGAAACTCAAGATTTTATTGGCAGAGTTTGAGGAACACTGAATTATTCTCCATGTTCTCTTCTGGTGCTAACTTTCCATAATTGCTTCAGCCTCTGAGCTTCTGTCTGCTGGATAACTCTCCTGAATAGAACATCCAATCCTCAACACTGCCTAGTACATAAGGCATGGCTAGGATTGTAAAGAATGTATAATTCCTAAGGAGATACAGTATTGCATAGGAGGCTAACCTAAGTGTGTCCAAGCAGAAGCCCTTTGGAATCTGCTTTTAAAAATAGCAAGAACCATTTATAATTAATACATCTTAAGGATCTATATATAGTAAACTGAAGTTCTAGAAAGGCTTCTTATAAGGCAAAAATATTCTTTCTTCTGAGCTTAAAGCAGGCATTTTTATCAGGAGTTCAGAATCTGTGGCATCTGAATTAATGAGATTTTAACCTTGTAGAAAACCTTGAAGTTAGATTAACCCAAAACAAGACCTTTTGTTTGAAAAAAGCATCCCAGGGCATCATCCTCCTCATCTTCTGCAAGGGTTCTATTTCTAATGATGCAAAACTGATTTTAGCCTCTGTATCATTTACCTCCCTACCATGATGAATCATTGATAATTATATGTTAAGGATTCAGTTCTTTCCCTCATAGTTCATTCTAGAGGCTTCTAATTATGGTTGGGTTTTCAATACATGTTTGTCTAAAGTTCTAACAGTTAATAAATAGATCTGTAGAAAGCCAGTGAGTTTAAGGGGCAAGTGGATAGATGGTGCTCATATTGGCACCCTCTGGTAAGCATTTTCCTCTTCTTATTTAAAAGAAAACCACAGCTGCTCCTTGAGAAAGAATGACAATTTGAAGTGAAATTAGCAAGAGAAGGAATTGCCAATTTAAAAATGAGTGTTTCTGGATCCTCACAGGATTCCTCTTTAGAAAAGCTAGCTTATCTGGATTTTTAGCATCTTTTGCTTGACTTAAAAAAAAAAAATCAAATTAAAATTATACAGCTGTCAGCATTCAAGCCAGACAGCTCACAATAGACAAGAAAAATTGCCTTTCTAATACTGGTATAATTAGGCTATAATGCATGTGGAGGTTTCTGTGAATTTTCATCTCCAGTTAGAAAATGGAGTGTTGCTTGCCACCTTTCTTCATCATGAAGCCAACTTAGTCTTTTTTTTTAAACTAAATTTGTGAAAACCAACAAATAGGCCATTCCATGGCGTCTTCAGACAAAATAGGTAACTTCTGTCCTGGGTTTCCTGATTTTTATTTATTTATCCTATTTTCATGAGAAATAATCCTTTTTTGAAAAGCAAAGCTAAATATCTTAGACCCTTCTTAAAACAAAACAACAAAAAATAGTAATGATATAGAGCTCTTCAATTTATTTTGAAAGATATATACTCTCTGATTGACTTTTCCATTCTGGAAATTCAGAAAAAGATTTTGTATTGCTTCCCTAATACTTAGTACAGCTGCATAATGGACTCACTTTTAAATAATTAGATAATTTGAAAAGACAGATATCCAGTCTCTTGGAATCATCATTTCTAGCCCTCTCAAACTTTACTAAGGTCCTAGAATGAGGTCTTAGGACAAGATGGAAAACACACAACCTTTCTGTTTCCATTTAACTTTTGTTGTTACTGTTTTAGGAAAAACTTGATTTTTTTTTTTTCCTTTTTGAGATTAAAAATAACAGGTTATTACAGATGCTTGTGATGGTCCCAGTTTTAACAATATTCAGAAAAAGTGACTGGGGCAGGCTTTCTCAAATCAATCTTGCTTGGAGGAATAGGAAAAGGAAAATATTTCTTCACAAATAAGTTGTCAGAATCAAATACCAAATGTAGTGAATGTGGACCAAAGAATAGCTCAGTTTAAAAATAGGATTTTAAAGCACTGTTGCTATTACTATAAAAATCATAATCATTTTAATACTGCAGTTTCAATGTTCATTTTAAAATTACACTTTTTGGTCTGGTTGCATAGGCCAACAAATAATATTTAATTTTTTTTAAAAATTTAATCCATAGCTTTTATGTCATGCATCTTTGGATATTTTCATTATAAGCTGTCTGCACATAGGCATCATACCTAAAATGGAGACCACATTTGTGTTCTTACAGAATCTGTGCTTGTTCTAAAAGATTGTGCTGATTATAGTAACCCCTGCTTGGAAGTATTCAGTAGGTATTTAAAGGTAGAATATTACAGTACACTTTTTTTTCCCCCCACAGAGTTATGATTGGGTTACCATCCATTAATGTAAGGAAAGTTTTTACTTTAAGTTTTTTGGGGATTTTTGGACTAGTAAAAATTTTTGTTCTATGAATAGACATTTCTATTATTTCTTGTGAGACATCAGTAGTTCTCTTCCTCCTGAGGGATGTCTTTTTCTTTGAGAACGTCTATTTTATTCTCATGCTATGACACTGGGAAGTCCTGACGCTCCTCTCTTTCACCTTTGCTTTATCTCTTAGTGTGGCTGTCACCAGGTCCAGAGATGTGCCTTCCTTTGGACCTCCCATCCCCAAAGGGGTCACTTTCCCTAAGTCAAATGTGTTCAGGGACTTCCTTTTGGCCAAAGTGATTAACGCAGAAAATGCTGCTCATAAATCAGAAAAGTTTCGGGCCATGGCAACTCGGACCCGCCAGGAATACCTGAAAGATCTGGCAGAAAAGAATGTCACCAACACCCCTATTGACCCGTCTGGCAAGTTCCCATTCATCTCTCTGGCCTCCAAAAAGAAGGAGAAGTCTAAGCCATATCCAGGAGCTGAGCTCAGTAGCATGGGGGCCATTGTGTGGGCCGTCCGGGCCAAAGACTACAACAAGGCCATGGAAATCGACTGCCTGTTAGGGGTTTCCAACGAGTTCATCGTTCTCATTGAGCAGGAAACCAAGAGTGTGGTTTTCAACTGCTCCTGCAGAGATGTGATAGGGTGGACCTCAACTGACACCAGCCTCAAAATCTTCTACGAGCGAGGAGAATGTGTTTCAGTGGAGAGTTTAATTAATAATGAGGACATCAAAGAGATTGTCAAAAGGTTGCAGGTGAGTATTTTCTTTCCACTTACCCACATTCCATTTCCCTTTCCTGAAGCTTTCAGTACAGACTAGAAGCAAGTTACTGAAGTCGGTGCTATTTTATCAGCTTCTCTGAAAACTCCCTTGATGATATGAAGTGACCCAGAGTTTATGTCACACTCGTTTTCCATCCTTTTTCAGAAGGAAAAGTAGAGCAAGTGGGAGAAGACACATTTGCGGTGCGTTTGTGCTGGAAACCATTTGCATGTGACCTGATCCCACTGCCTTGATGGCTAATGAGGTGGCCCAGCCAGTCTGCTTTAGTTGTTGAGAAGAACTGTTCGATTGAGCATCCGCTGCCTTGAATTTTTGAAGGGCAAAGCGAGTAGCAGAATATGGTCTCTGTAGGCTGCCCACTCCCTGTAGGTCTCTGTTAGAGGTTTCCTTGTAAGCTCAGTGAAGCCATTGAGCCCTTTGGACACAAGAAGTATGTTCTTTTTGGCCTAATGAATGGAGGTTAATAGTGGGGGGAGTAACCAGATGCTCCTCAGGGTCAGCAGGGTATTCGTCAATAACCCTGCTCGCGGTGTTTTTCCGGCTCCCTGTCCACTACTTGACACCCTGTGGTGTTAAACCATGATGCCTTTTGTTTCCTTGTCCAGTTTGTGTCAAAAGGTTGTGAATCGGTGGAGATGACCCTGCGAAGGAACGGGCTGGGACAGCTCGGCTTCCACGTCAACTATGAGGGCATCGTGGCAGATGTGGAGCCCTACGGCTATGCCTGGCAGGCAGGGTTGAGGCAGGGCAGCCGGCTGGTGGAGATCTGCAAGGTGGCGGTGGCCACCCTGAGCCATGAGCAGATGATCGATCTCCTGAGAACATCCGTCACGGTGAAGGTCGTCATCATCCCCCCACACGATGACTGCACCCCACGGAGGTAGGTCCGAGCTGGCAGCCGGGAACCTGGCAATCCGAGGCTGGGTCCATGCGCCGTGTAGAACATCTCCTTCTGGGTAGGGCAGCAGGGTGCTGTGCTCAAAGCTCCTTCCATCCGTGGAAAGTCTGACTCGGGATGTCACTCCCTTGCGGACTGTGGCAAGAGCAGCTGGAAAGAGTGACTGACTTGGACCCTTCCCAGATTTACATCTGTGGATTTATAAACTTGCCAGTACAGATAGAGAAGTCTGGTAATAGCCATCTTAAATATCTTGCACCGGTAGCTAAGAAACATGGAGTGCTTAATATTAGAATACACTCAGCAACACAGGCTCTTAGGCTTCATGACACTCTTACTCATCGTACTGTCCAAAATTCAGAGTGCCGTTTTGACCCTGGCGCTCTCATTCTGGAGCCCTGGACGTGACTTAGCAAGCATTCTCTTCAGTGCATCTGTGTGTGTCGGGAATTGGCTTCAGATGAGCAGCTCCTGCTCGTGCTGCTTTGGCGGTTGGGTCCCCAGCCTTTTCGCAGACAGAGGCCCGGCAGCTCCCTGTCCCTCCTAGCTCCTGCCAAGCCAGCACATTCTTGAAAACTTAACTTCTTGGTCTCTGGGGAGGTTTCTTGATGGAACAAATTTAATCAACTGTTTCTTTTCTCCTTTGGACATGTCCATGCTATTTTTACTAGTTTCTTTAAATCTGTTAATTCCCTTTCAGCCCATTATTGTCTAAGTTTCTCTTAAGCTTTGGCAGTTAATTCTTAGGCCTTCTGAAGCCAAAACATCCTTCACCTGTTTTTTTCCCCAAAAACATGACCTGTCCTGCACCTGAACTCTTGCAAATTCGTGAACAGTGGATGGTAGAATGTGTAAACTGTTAATAATGTGTTTATTTGTGTCCTTTAAAAAGTAAGCAGCAGTGACAATCTGCATGTACTTCAGTTCTTCAGACCAAATGTTGCACTCAAGATAGTGTTTCTGAACACTGCTTACTGCCTAGATGGCCCAGAGACTAGGTGCCTATGTCAGAATATGGTGAACTCCCTCTGTCGAATAGCTTCACGAAAGGCTCCCTTTTGGATGACTGGATTTTTCCGGAAACCGAAATATGTATCCAGAACTTTTTATTATTTCAGTTATTTCGGGGGGGATGGGGGTATATTCTGAAATTTCCTTACACACTACCCTGCCTTAGTTAACCAGATGTTTTCTGGTTTCCTCAAGCACATCATCGTTAACGTGAAACATTTTGCTGAACTGGGTTTCAGGAATGACTCTGGAGGCAGATCAGAGAGGTGTTTAGGTCCTTACAACACTCTCCAGATGCTCTGTGCTCCTCCTCTGGTCCTTCTGTCGTCTGTCCCTTGGTCTCTCCTTCACATTGTCTGCTTGATTGTTTCTAACTAGGCAGCTATAAACTGGAGAAGACAACCAAGCTTTGTAACCTGCCAACCTTAATTACACACAGTACAGTATCAAAGACGCTGGTCTAAGGACTAATGGTCTGAGAATGAGTCTGTAGTTGGTGTGGTGCCATCTTGTCTGCCCAGAGACCTTTCCCCTGGCTTCTAGGCTCCCCAGTTTGTATGGCGGTGGGGGGCGGGGCGTCTAGGTACACATGAGTGTGAATATGGGATGAACGGATGGGCGACATTACTGATACTGAATTGTGCATGGTTGTTACTGGAAAGATGGGTCAGAAGGCCTGACTCTGGATAGATAGGTCTGTGGTAGGACGTGGTTTATCTACAGCAATATACTAAGCCAGATACGTCTTCTGTGGTGTGCTGGTAAAAACAACTAACATTTGCTGAGGATTTAATTTGCCAGGTTAGAAAAAACACTTTCACATGGATTAGTGCTTTTAATCGTTATAGCAACCTTGTGAGGTAACAGTATTAATATTATTCCTATTTAAAGGAAACCAAGACTCAGGTTAGTAACTTGCGAAGCTCATCTGGCAAATTTAGGTCTCACTTCAGAATCCAGGCTCTTAACTACTACTTCATAGGCTTGGGGCACAAATCCTTCTTTTTTTTTTTTGGACATACCAGCAGAAGCAGGGATCTGCGGGCGCGTTGGCTTTCTGTTGAAGAACAGAACCTTGCTGCTGCCCATGGTGTCGATATTGCTTCTGTGGTCGATTTCAGGCCCCCAGCGTGACAGCGCTGAGCACAGAGGTGGGATAGATGCTCACGGTCTGCTTTGCAAGCCAGGACAGGCTGCCTCCCGCACACCCCCGAATGAATAAACAATGAGACACTCTTTGCCACTCTCCCAGCCAGTGGACAGACAGAAGGGTGTTAGGAACCTGCCCCCATTAGGGCACGGAATGGGAGGCTGGGATGAAGGATGGGTGCCCCGCACAGACCCGCGCCTGGGAGGCACACTCCGTGCCTTTCACAGGATAGTTTCCATCCGAAAAGCTCCAGTCACACCTGGGCAGGTGTGAAATGGTGCCATGGGTGCCTTTGGGGGACTGGAAACCCTGCTTTCCCCTTCCCTCCTTTAGAAACAACCTCAAAGGAACAGTGGAAGCATGAACACCTTGCTGTAATTTTCAACAAAATAAGATAATGCTCTTCTGTCATTTTTCTCTCCTCCACACTTCACACTCCCACTGCTGTTTTCCTAGCAGCTGATTACTCTGTTCTTTGACTAGTCACTCTCTTCTCTGTCAGCTATTCCTGCAGCGAGGGAACGGGCCTCCTCCAGGCCCCCTGTCCCAGGGCCCCTCAGCTGCCTGCTTCTCCGGGGCACAAGGGTCCTGAGTGGTCACGGGTGCCCAGCGTGCTGACCAGATGTAAATACAAACGCCCATGTGTGTTCACACGGGAGAGGCCTTAGTTTTGAAAAGGCAGGTTTTTTGTTTTAATGAACAGTTAACAGCAACGTGGGGCTTCAATCATAAAAGAGAAATAGGGCTCTTTTCCCTGTTTTTAGGACATAAGCAGATCCTCCATGAATTGCCTTCACACTAAAGTTGTTTTTAAGAGAAGAAAGGACAGGGGAAGTAAAGTAAAATTCCTGAGCCCCTGCTACCTATTGGGCGTTTAAAAAAAAAAAGGCTTCCATTTCCATTAAAACAATGAGGAGGAGGAGGCTTGGAGAGGTTCTGTCGCTGCGCAGGGGGCAAGCAGGACTAGCTAGGCCTTCCTCCCGAAGCGGTTCAGTGCTTCCCCACAGCCTCCACCAGGAAGTTTCCCAGGGAGTGTGAGATGTCCAGCGTCAGGAGGGGCCCTTCACCCCCGCCCCAGGCCTGACTCCAGAGTGCTGGGGCCTGTGACCCGCACTTATCTGTTGGTGCCTGTGACCTCTGAATCCTCAGCAGCCGGTCTCTTGGCAAGATGAAAAACACCCCGCTAGCAATTTCACCCACATTAAATCATGATGTTCTGAATGGTGTTGCTCAGGAGTGGTGGACCTTTCTTCTGTTGAGGGCCACTAGCCTACAGCTTCTGAAGAAAGCAATCAAGGACCATTCAGAGGAAGAGCTAAAAACAAACAAGTTACATAAAAGGACCAAATTACTTTTTAAGTAGAACAGATCACAGAGTTTTGTTTTCATTTTAAAACACAAGTATTCAAAATGCAAAAGCATACTGTTAGGGAACCAGAAAGGCTGTGAGAGTTCATCTGGTTCAGATAGCTCATCTTTCAGGCAAAGAGCTTTGATGCAAAGAGGTTAGGTATTTTTTCCAAACCCCAGTCACATGGCCTGTTAGGGCCCTACCTGTCCTCAGACATCTGACTTTGCCGATTCAAGAGTCCAGTGTTGAGATGATCTGTTGGGTGTGCTGTACAGTGGTTCTTCTATCTGTATTCCTAGTGTTGAAAGGAAAAAGGAGAGAGGAATGGATCATCACAACCTAAAGGAGAAAGAAAGAAAAAAAAAGGCTGAGAAAGAGAGTAGGGAGAAGGAGTGGCTTTTCAACCAACAGGGTTTCGGTGTGTTGCCATGCGTCTCTTGGGCCTGAAATACTGAAATTGCAGTTCCTGTTGCCCATCAGTCTTTACAGATTGTTGAGTTTTCCATGTTGTCGTAGACTGTGCTGAGTGAAATGAGTAGTCCCTAGAAGTGAAGAAGTCTGGGGACTTGGAGTAGATGTATTCTTTAGCTGGAGATTAAAGTAAGGCTAACCTCCACGTAGATTAATTCTGCGAGTTCAGATCCCGGCTGTGCCACTTGCTGGCTGTGCAGTCTCGGGCAGATCAATCTCTCCAGACCTCCGTTTCCTCATTTAAAAAAGTGGGGATAATGATAGTGCCTACTTCAGAGCCGTTGAGGCACGGCCACGTTAGCGCCTGGCCCGTTGTCAGTGTTCATTACTGTTCAAAACGGCATTTAATTGAACGACAGAATAAAAATCCTTCTATGAATTTTCATATGTGTCCCTAAAAGCCAGCTTTTATCTTTGTTCTTCAGTGTACAGCCCACTTCTTGACTTCATGTGTCATTCTTATATTTTCAGAGATAAGTGAGCGACAGGAAGCTGGTGGGTGGGCTGCCCCATCATGGACAGCAAAGAGACACGGCGCATTGGCCGAGGTTTAGCCTTGCGGATCTGCTGTTTCTCGTTCTCTACGAATGAATCTTCTCTCCCTGCTTAGGCTTTATCATACTGCATCCTGTTATCATCGACTGTGCAGGAGGTTCCTCCCTGCACGTTAGAGGTGGTGGAAATGAAATACAGACGAAGAGAAGACCAAGTCTTGGGCTACCGGGGTGTTTTAACCGGTTTTAGTATGAAATGTTACGTAGCTTAAGACTATTTCAAAGAGTTTTTGAACTAGAAGAGAGAGATTACCAATTCCAAATCTTTTATTTCCCAAAGGGGCTAAGGCCCCAGAGATGAAAGCAGCTTGTCTGTTTCAGAGTACGTTATATTTGTTTCTGTTATCATTATTTATTACTGTCTGCCGTAAGGCAGCCCGTGCCTATAAAGGTGCATGTAGAGTACTGGGGAGTTAAAACCCAACAGGAGAATCTGTCAGAGGGTGGGGTGTGCTGAAGGGAAGACATGGCCTACTGGAACATTTTTTAAAAGTTGGTGCCCAAAATACATGATAGCAATGTTCTGTACATGGGCTGGTTGCTAGCACCCAAAAGAAAGATAGCAGATATGTATATGCTGTATAAATGATACGACCCATTGGATTTATAAGTTGAAACAGACCCGTGCTAAGGGGAAGTGAAAGCTAGGCCTGATTTTGAGGTGGAGGGAAATTTTCCCATGGATTATTGCAAGTTTTTATTACTGCCCCTTTTGTAAGCTGCAACATTCTTGCATTATATTTATAGACCCAGAGCACAAGTTACTGTATAATATGCCATATTTGGTCAGAAATGGAAGACTTCAAACCATACTACAGTAATACCTCTATTAAGAACCAAAAAAGTATTGCAGCTTTTTTGTCAGAATGATCGGAATCAAAGCTAGAAATTATGTCAAAGCCTGAGGTGACACGCCCTCCTATCAGAGAAAAGGTTTATTACATAAGAAGTCATTAGCTGCTAAAAGTCATGTAAAATGTGCCATAAAGCAGTGTTTTGCAGACTGTAGGTTGTAACTCCTAAGTAGATCATGAAATCCACTTAGGAAGCTGCATTCAGTGTGTTTGTTTAATGAAATGGATTAACACAGAATACAGCAGAATGGAAGAGAGTGTGTGTGTGTGTGTGTGTGTGTGTGTGTGTCTGTGTGTATTTGTGGCTGGGCTGCATCACAGTTTTGTATTTCTTACTGGGTTCATGGTCCCAAGAGTTTGAAAACCACTGTCATTAATGCTAGGGCAGAGGGTCAGATTAAGGTTGACTTAGGCTTTAGGGAATCAGGATGAGTGGTAAGAAAACTCTAAGAAAAGGTGCCTGTTGGAAACGGAGGCTGAGACTGAGCAGCCAAGGACCCCAGCAAATGCATGCGCCTCAGTAGCAGCCCTTCTCAAAACCCATGTGTCTCACGAAGGTGTGGGAGAGGGCCCATTGTGGCGTACATGTTAGAAATGCCACGAGACCTACCTGAGACACGTAGGCAAGCTCCTGAGACAGTGACGCCTTCCACTGTGCTTATTCTCTCACCAACACAAGCCCCTTTCCCAAATCGAGACCCAGGCTTTGGCCCCGTGCTGTGCGGTCAGGAGCCACAAGTCGCCCGTGGCTAAGGGGCCATTGTCACGTGGCTAGTACGAAGTGAGAAGTGCTGTACGTGTACAATACACACCAAATTTAGATGCATGTACATCATCTTGTTTTTATATTGGTTTCTTGATTGTATGTTCATATGCCTGCATCTTAGATATATTAGACTAAATAAAAAATTAATTTCACCTATTCCCTTTTACTTTTTTTTTTTTTTAAGATTTTATTTATTTATTTGAGAGAGAGAGAATGAGAGAGAGCACGAGAGGGAAGAGGGTCAGAGGGAGAAGCAGAGCCCCTGCTGAGCAGGGAGCCCGATGCGGGACTTGATCCCGGGACTCCAGGATCATGACCTGAGCCGAAGGCAGTCGCTTAACCCACTGAGCCACCCAGGCACCCTCCCTTTTACTTTTTTCATGTGGCTGCTAGCTTGCATTATGTCTCTAGTGGACAGCACTGTTTGGACTCTCCTTCCTCTGTGTCTGAAGTGTTTCATAATCACTCTTAACCCTTCCTTTGTCAGTCCCTCCACCTGCTGCTCAGTCTTTGAAATTCCTTTAAGCAAGAAAGTCTTTTTTTTTTTTTTTTTTTTTTTGCTTAGTAATAAAATCCAAGTGCATAGTTTGAGTTAATGCTTTAGTAGGCATAGGTTTTTCTCAGTAATTTGTCTATCAGTCAAGTTAATAATAGACTGAACCTTCCTTGGTTGTTTGGGTAAAGGGAATGGAGAGTGGTTTCCACATTTCCTAAGGTTTAGGGGCCCACCAAAAAAGGGGCTAGAGCAACAGAAAGACAGTTGGGCCTGACATCAGTTTCACTCAGGCTGCTACCTGGGGCCAGCCCTGCTATGGAAGATTTCTAGCTTGCGGGGTGAGCGGGGGTGAGGGGAGTCTGATTTCAGATTATGCTTTGTTCCCTGGTGATTTGATAATTGCAGAATTTCTATAATTGGCTTTTTGTTTTCTCCTTCTGAGCTAAATTTGGTTCTCATTTTGAATTTCAAAATTTATCCCCCCTTAATTTTTTGACTATTAAGATCCCCAACAAATTCAGTACCTTTTCAGATGCCCAGTCATGATGCTCAGTGAAGGGGAGCATAAAGCTGACCGCTTCCTTCCTCTGGGGCCTGGTCTTAGGGTTCTGCTACCCTTGCCCTGCTGGCCTGATGGCCTTCCCTCCTCAGGCCTCAGCGCTGACTCTGCTCTTACCCGCCCTCTCCACTCACCAGGATGACTGTGGGTCTCACTGTGTTTTCAAGACTCCGTATCTCAGACTCCATTGTTGAGACTGAGCAAGGGAAAATATACCAGTATAATACTTCCTGGGGTTCTGGTTTTTGAAAGGACAGTAATTAGAGGGCCCAATGGTTAAAAAACAGTTTAAAACAAAGGATGAAGTGTTTGAGCCACATTAACTGTTAATGAGAATCAGTGTGGTTCCACCCACAAGAAAAAACAATATTAATTTTTCTTCTTTCTGTGCCCTTAATAGGAGTTGCTCTGAAACCTACCGCATGCCAGTGATGGAATACAAAATGAATGAAGGGGTTTCATACGAATTCAAGTTTCCCTTCCGAAATAATAACAAATGGCAGAGGAATGCCAACAAGGGGCCTCATTCACCTCAAGTCCCCTCCCAGGTGCAGAGTCCCATGACCTCGAGGCTGAATGCTGGGAAAGGAGATGGGAAGATGCCTCCTCCAGAAAGAGCCGCCAACATCCCTCGAAGCATCTCCAGTGATGGACGCCCGCTGGAGAGGCGGTGAGTGTGCCTTCAAAGGTTCGCTCTGAATCTCCGCCCCAGGTTTAAAGGGCACCAGACCCACAAGCACTAGCTTTAGGTCTTCCCATATTTTACTAGAAATCAGGAATTGTGGGGCATCTGGGTGGCTCATTTACATGTCCGAGTCTTGATTTCAGCTCAGGTCATGATCTCAGTGTTGTGAGATCAAGCCCTGTGTTGGCTTCGTGCTGGGCGTGGAGCCTGCTTAAGATTCTCTCTCTCCCTCTCCCTACCCCCCCTTCCCCCTCTCTAAAAAGAAGAAGAAAATAAAGAAATCAGGAATTGAAACAGAAACAGGTGCATGCCCTGGTGGCTTTCAAAGTATGGTAGCATTCTAAAGCCATAAGGATGCATAAGGATATATTTCAGCAAAGCATTCAGCTCTGAGTAATGTATGTGTGCTTTGCACTTTCATTTCCGTGTGATCGCAACAGAAACCGTCACTGCACACTCAGTGGCAACGTGGGTTAGAAGTTGGCAGACTCTTTGAGGGGATATTGACCATATTATCATTTTTGACAGTCTTTGTCTTTTGGGGGAGAACTAATAATGATAGTAGCTAAAGAATGCAGGTTTTTGATTGAGTGGCTGTATTTGTGTCACTTTGTTAATAAAGATTGTAAAATATTTTAAATAATAGCACTGTAAATTACTTATGCTAATGAAGGACACAGTTGAATTCAGTAAGCTGATAGTCACCCACTAGAAGCAGCCAACTTCTTTCTGTGCACTGTCCTTTCCTCATCACTTCTGCTTGTCTTGATCACATCTCAGAGTTTTTTTGTGGCCCTCACCCTGGAGAGGGATCAGGAATCCCCAGAGCTGGGAAGAAGTCTCTGTTCCAGGAGCTGTGTGGGGCAGAAGGAAGGTGGGAGCCAAAACGTGAGTCTAGCTCAATGGAGCAGCAGAGACAGGGTGCCAAGGAAAATGGGCCCCAGCTTTGCTTAAATAGTCATTGATTGGTTCAGATTGGGAGCAGAAAGCTGGAGGCTTTAAAAACCACACTGTGATGTTTCTTATCTTAGTCTAACTTTTGTGCGTTTATGTGTTTTATGCACTATTGCATAAAACATTGTCATTTAACTAGCTCAGAAATATTTGGATATCATGTAGAAATAATTTATAGACAACAACAACAAAAAACTAGTTGTCTTTCTAAACTTCCTCACTTAATCCTGGAGATCTACTTACAGAACTCTACTATTTATTTCAATTAAAGATTCCTCCCAAAGTGGCTACTTTACCATCTGGACTCCTCTTATTTTCATCATTTTTGAGGAGGAAAATATCTAAGAGATCTCTGAATAAACTCTTTGTTCTCCACATTCCAAACTTGGCTCTCCCTGAGGTGTGTGTAAACTGGAATTTATGATTTGGCCCACATTTTGAAAGATGAACTGTAGGAACTCATTGTTTGGAGAAGGACCTTCTCAATGCTATTTTCTTTCTCTTTCAAGACAATCATGAGACTTTTATAAGTTAAATTGTTTTGTGTGGTTTTCTTTATTCAATATTCTGTATAATAAAAGAGCAGGATATATTTTGATTCCATGCTGAATTTAATTTCTGCAACAGAAACTAAAGCCTGTTGCTGAACATCCTGACCTCAAAAGTGGAAATATTTTTTGTATCTAATTATCACCATATGATACAAGCAGCTTTTAGTGCTAGAGAATGCATCAGCTCCCTTATTTCCAGATGGAGCTCTTTGAGTTTGAGAGGTGATTTCCGAGGGTACTTGTGTCTTGCCGTTCATCTTAACCACTACACAGTCCCCCACCCCTGGGGGCAGGGGAATTGGAGTGCTCTCCCTGTAAGACCATCAGCGTAGCCCTGGGACCTTCCATGCTTTACAGATGAAAGTAGCAGGAGCGAGGTTGCTAGTGGTTTCAGAGATATTTAACTTCTACTCAGTTAAGACTTTTTAGTTTCAGGTATCTTCAGGACACTGGACTGGTATTTCAGATCTTATGAAGGAGAGTTTATGTGACCTGTAAAATCTCAGGTCTACATATGCAGGATATTAGGATTATTTGGCTCACCTTCCTTTTGACATATGTAGTAGTTAGATATTCTTCCTCTGTGGAAACTTAAGAGTTCAATTTCCTTTCTCATCATTGCTCACTTTCAGTAATGCATTATTTCTTTTTTTAAATTTTAACTTGGAGTCACAAATAGAAGGTGCTGTTTGAGAACCTTTGTTTTGCTACTGTTTCAAGGATATTTAGATATAGAATAGACTCATGACATTCATCAGGAATACTTCCTGAGTCCTCCATGAATCCCCAGCTTCATAAATTTACCCGGAAGTATCATTTTCTCCATGTAGTAAATGTAGTAAAATGTTACTGGAAAGCATCCTGTCATGGTGTTACTGAGAACAGAACACCTTACTGAAATGGGGAAGGGAGGCTCCTGGCTGCCCGGCTCTCATCGTCCATTTGGCCTTCCCCTTCCTACCAGTCCTGCCCTGGGTGCCATTTGCATTTGTACCTGGGCAGTCTGTAAAGTGTGACTCCTTTCAGATGAGTTGCAAATGGTCAGAATAAATGCCAGGGTCTGCCATACCTTGAATCTTGCCTTACTGATAATGCTATGAGCCTAATACTGAGACCAAAGTACTGCCTTTACGTAATTTCCATTCCATTTATTTTCCTCCCCTTGGCGCTAGGCAAGTTGTATTGAACTGTAGAGAAACCAGCTGTATTTAAGCTGAAGCCAGCAGCCCTCTCAAGTGTGCCCTGCCCAGATTTGCTACACGGATCTGCCCGCTTCATTCACCATGGCTGGTTCCAGCCTGGTTCACTCTCCATGAAAACACCAATTTACTGCTTGTAGAAGCCTAGTTTTTCTTGCATTTTTATGCGAGATCCCAGACTTGAAGGTCATTAGGAAGATTTTTTTTTTTTAAATACTTTTGGAACAGATTTTCCTTTTTTCTTTAATATCAAGGGCATGGTTTTTATAACATACCAAAATATGTTGGTGTTTGAAGTTTCTAATAAGAATTATTTCACTGAATTGTATTCTGAATACATTGTTGAGAGAAACTGATGCAGTAAAAACAAGAGGATTCATTTGCCATCTAAATAGACCAAAATCTAATTCTGTTTGCCTTAAATATGTGAGCTTTATGCTCTCCAGGTGGACTTTTTGAGTACAGAATTTTATAGTATTTGTGGGAGTAGTATTTATTAACAGAATTAATATTTACTCAACAAAAATAGGTAATATGATGCAAAAATACCACTATTTTGGCCTCAAATTTATCTAGAGTATAAGGGTAGAACTGGAACTGAAATATCTACTGTGGCACATTGAACTTATCACATTACTTGTTTAAACATAGTGTGGGATCAGTCATAAAACCCTGATGTGTGTTAAATATGCTCAGAAAAGTTTACCTATTTCAGGGGCTTTGCCAGACAACAGGCGTCTTAGCATAAGGAATTTTCCTTTCTCCGTTTTTTTTTTTTTGTTTTTTTTTTTTTGAGTTGAAGCATCACCAGCCTTTATGCAGCTTGGTGCCTAAAGGTGTTGGAACTTTAACCAGCTTTGGTACTTTTAAGTTGTACCTGGATGCCACTATTCCCCACGTCTGCTGCCTTTAGCTCAGCAGCTGGGGGGAGCACTTGCCCACTTGGGAGGTCAAGACTGGCCACGTGTGCAGCCTCCCCATGCCCTCTCTGCAGACTCCAGCCCCCCACAGAGAGCATCACGGTCATGTGCCCGTTCAGTCTTCGTTTTTAAGGCAATGCTAAGTTTATTTCAGCAGTCCCATGCCGTCTTCACTGTCGTTTTCTGCTTTGACATAAATAAAGCAAGCGCCCCTTTAATCCCTCGGCTGTGGTTAGATGGTTCAGGACTTGCACGTTCCAGATGCAGTCTGCCTGGGTCATAGTTGTTTGGCTTGAGTTGAGGACCCTTAAATCCTAGAACTTGAGAGCTTCACTGGGCTCGCTCCGCCTACATCCCTGACCTCTGTGTTTCTAGAGCTGAACCCCCTGGATGTGGCTGTCTTTAGTTTACCTGACACTGTTCGCCGCTCCCTCCTTCAGACTCCTTTTCCCTGTCTTCCAAAACGTCACTCCTGATTTTTTTTTGGTCAGCTCTTTGCACCTGTCTCATTGCCCCCCAAGCTGTGTGTCCTGCACGACTCCTTCCTCATTTTTCTCTTCATCCCATGCCGGGCAATGCCGCGGGTGGCTCGTTTTTCTCCGCAGTGTCGGCCGTCACCTGTGTGTGGGCAGTTCCTCAGTGGTGTAGCCCTGCCTTGACCTCCTTTTTACTTTTCATGTCCATTTGCCTGACGACGTACTGAGTCTGCCCTTGAAGGTCATGCGAGTGTCTCCTCCCCACAAGCCCAAGTGGCCTTCAGCCGCCCCCCTGCTCGCCCGTCCCCTCTTCTTTCTCACGTGTCACCCGCGCAGTGACCAGCTCCCCGAGTGTCAGGGCAGCGCTGGGATTCCTAATCGCCTTCCTGTCCACCCTCAGCCCCATCCTCGCACCCATCTAGTTAGGAGACCTAAACTCCGAGTTCTTGGTTTTTGAGCTTCAGGTCACACTAAGATTGTTCTGGCCCGGACAGCGCTGCAGGCTGCAGGTGGCCAGGGGCGGGGGGGTGCGTGGTGTGTGCAGGCTGATAGAAGTGGATGCGCCCCTCATCACGGCCGTCAGTGCAAGTCCGCCTCCCTGGGAGCTCCTGCCAACTGGCTTTCGCCTTCCACCCACCGCCCCAGGCCCCGGGCCCAGGAAGGACTCTGTTTGCCGGGTACTGTCTCCTTGACGCCTTGACATGAGCGGCCCTGCTCCATCTGTCCTTCTGCTCCCTGTTTCCGCAGCTTAACAGCTGGTCCTTCACAGAACTGGTCACAGTTGACCCTTGAACAACACGGGTTCGGACTGCGTGGGTCCACCCACATGCGGTTTTTTTTTTTTTTTATAAACACAATGCAGTACTGTAAATGTATCTTCCCTTC